CTAAGGGTACTTCATATATATATTTATATATATAAATGCCAAAAACAGTATGTATGCATCCTTCCTTCTATTCTGGGGCTAATTTCTCCACAGATGATCTGAAACTTTTCCTTCTCTCTCAGGAGACTCCCTGTCTCAGAAACCCATCTCATAGCTTAACTTCTCCCTACTAGCTCCTTTTCAGTTGCATCTAAACACTCTCAAGCCTCTCCTAACTTTAAAAAGTTAACTAGAAAGAATAAAGAAGAAAAGAACTATAAATGTGCTGTCTCCCCTGTGCCTTTCTGGCCACTGCCCTATCTCACTGCCCTCACACATTCATCCACCTGTTCACCTCCTACTCACTCATCAGCCCACTGCAATCTGGCTTCATTCACCAACTAGTCTTCTTAAACTGCTATTGCCAAAGTAAACAACACCCCTCCCTTTGTAAATTCCAAAGGAAACTTTCCATCTCTATTTGCCTTGACCTCTATCTTGCACTAGACATTATTTGATCACTACCTCTTTGAAACCTTCTCTTGCCCACGCTCCTGCACCCCACTTTCCCATTTTTCTCTTGCTTCTCTAGTTGTTCCTTCTCTCCATTGGCCATTTTTCTTCCCCTGCCCATATTTGAGATATTTCATTTCTCAGATATCTGCCCTTGGCCCATTTCTCACTCCACAGCTTCTTAGTTGATGAATCCTCATGGCTGAAATTACCACCTGTATGTTAACTTTCAAATCTATATTTACAGGCTTGATATTCCTGCAGAGTTTCAGATCTGAATATCCTGCTGTGTACTCAACATCTCTACTTAATCTCAGAAACACATCAAGCTCAACATGTCCAAAATGAAATTCATTCTTTCCCCCAAAGCTGTTCCTCTTCTTATGCTCCCTGTGAGAGAAAATGGCACCACTATATAACTGGTTGCTTAAGTTAGAAAAACTGGCATCATTCTTGTCTTCTTTCTTTTCTTCAGTCTGTCTATGTAATAAGTCCTACTGATTTTATCTGCTAAGTAATGTTTTTAGTCCATTACTCCTTTCTATTTCCACTGCCCAAGTTGAGGCCACCAGCATCTCTTGCACTGATCTCACCAGCGAATCCCAAATACCCTCCCAGCTTCCAGATTGAAGCCCTTTCAACCCATACTCTACATCATCACCAGACTGATCTTTCTAAAACAAAACTCTGACCTTCCTCCCACATTACACACACTTAAAATTCTTTGTGGATTCCCCCAATGCCTCACAGTAGAATCAAATGCTCTACAGAAGCCTTTAGGGCCTTCGAGATCTGATGATCTGGCCCTGCCTCCCCTGTATAGCCTTACCCATGACCACTTGCTCCCTTGCACTCAGGACCCATCCACACTAAATTATGCTCAGAACCCAACTTATGCTTTGCTTTCTCTCTCTACAACTCTAGAAGCAATGCCTTTCCCCTGTGTTCTTACAGTGCCCTATACTTCTTTCTCCCCCTACTACTTTGCATCTTGCTTCTTCATAAAAGACTACAATCTTCATAAAAGACAATAATTTTCTTCGTCATGTTCATCGTTGTATTCCCAGTACTGCCACAGTGCCTAAAAAGCAGAGAGTTATCAATAAATGTTTTCTTTAATCAATTGGTTGAGTAATCAAATGAAAACAAAGCTCAATATATCAATAGCTAAAAGAAAGGACAAGTCCAATTTGCAAAGTTTGTTCCAGGCAGAGTTAGCTTTTTTTTTTTTCCTAATACATTGCTTGCAGTTCCATTTCATAATTATAAGACATTAAGCCTTTTACTAAATGCGCTAAGAACCTGGTGACCAATATTTTGGCATAGAGACCTCATGAGGGAAAGGACTGTATCTTTTCTCACTGTGCCAAAGAAGTCCTATCATCAACTCTGTTGGAAACAACATGAATGCTGCAATGACAGGGAAGTGTTCCAAGAGTTGGAGGGAAATATTTCTCTCTTTTCCAAATATCTTAAACTGGAATCCAGAATGATTTATGTCTTTAGATCTTAGATATTACTGAGGAAGTTAGAAATAATTTGTCATCTTTTGATTGTACCTGCTACCAGTTGATGGCTGAAAAAGGAAAGCTGAGGACTACCTCTATGGATATCAGCACAGAAACCAGTTCGGACATTCCCAGACAGTTTGGGGGTTTGAGGAATAACTCACAGACACAGAGTCTGAGCCAGCCTCAGAAGCAAATTATTTATCAAAAGTCGAGTATAATATATATAATATATAATAAAAATATAATCAGGTTACTGTTACTACAACCCCCACCACCACCACCACTACACATGCACACACACAATCAAATATATATTTATATGAAACTTACAGCGTCCATTTACTCCACTCTTAAGTTAAATCTAACAACAGCCCTGTGAGGTTGAATCTATTTTCTCCATTTTACAGAAGATTAATCCAAGTCCCTGAGAACCTAAGATTTTTCAACAAGTCAAAAAAGGAAGGCAGGACTTGAATCTTGGCCTGTCCAATTCCAAAGCCATCCCTCCTTCCCCTATACCTTTCTCCCTCCTAAGTTGCCCCTCTCCTCCTACTGCTTACCAGAAACGCTGGTAAGAGTGATTCTGCTTTACGATAAACCACCCTGATCAAAATGCTTCAATGATTATTTTTGAGATGTCTGAGCTGAAAATGTACAGATTTCACAGGACAAAGCATGTGCCAAACTGTGATTGCACAATCAAAGCGCTGCAAGGAACCAACGAGGCCAAATGTGTGTTGGAGAAACTACAGATGTCATCTGGGAATGCTCAGAGCTTTGGATTTTTAAGCTGAGACAGTCTCGCTTCCACCGGAACCACAGCCTTATAAGGCTAAACCAAGGCCATGACTTCCTCAGCTGAATCAACCTGACACATACCGCCTGTTCCCTGAGCTCACTGGGATTCCACTGGCTGAGCGTCAGCCCCGTCATGGAAAGAACACCAGCACCGGGGAGGACTGGATTAGCCCCCATCCTGAACTGGATCACAAACACCCACCTTGTCATAAAACTGCTATGAGCCTTGCAGTGGAAAGACGGGGGAGGCAACACAACGGGGTCAGGAGTAGGGACCTTTAGGCTCCCCAGAGAAATTAGTCACAAAGTCTTATCCCTTCATTTCCATTTACAGCCACTTATTTGGGAGCAGTAAGTTCTAAAAGGGTGAAAAACAAAGACCCTCCTCCCCTCCCCCAGCATGTATTCTCAAGTTCACAGGAAGGACTCTCATTTGCTTTAGGGTACAAAGAGTACCTGCTAACAGCTGCATCTTCCCATGGACAAATCACACAGTGCATGTTCACAGAAAGACAGAACTCCAGGGGAAAAAAATCAGTCATTTACTCAACTCGCTTTACCAGACCTGGTCCCATTATACCCAAGCTCTAGAAAAAGGAAAGAAACTCAGTGGAAACCAGCTACGCAAACCTGCACAAAGAGGACCTCTTGGTTCTGAGAAGTCACAGTAACCAGTGGTTGAGAAATAATGAAAAGGTATGAGACCGCGAAGTTGAGCACACAAGAATGCTTCAGAAAATGGAATGTTGACACTGTCGCCAAGTAACTTTCCTTCCAAGTATTGATTACTCTCTACAGATTATGGAAAATATTTGTCTGAGATGATATTTCAACTGTTCTCATTCTCAGCTAGCAAGTATAGTAGAGCTATAGTGAAGCATGTGTTCCTAATTTTCCCCCAGAAGTTATTGATATCGGAATGTTAAGGTGCTAGGGAAAGAATGAGGAAACTTTCATAAGGAACCCAAATGACCTTCTGAGGGTAAGGAGACTACAAGCCCAATTCCTTGAGATTCTCCTAGAGGAGAATCATCAGACTGGACTTGGGTGATCCCAACCACAGGCCAGAACAAGAAGGAGCTACCAACTTCTTTAATAGAAAACATCATGGTGGAAAAAGATTGGACAAGTGGGCAGTTATATACACCAAGACTGACCTGTGAAAGTGAGTAGTGGTTCTGGTTCTTTAAGGCTGTAACTGTCAGAACTTATATTTACCAAGCCATACTGAGCACAAGCTACATCCTAGGAAAGAAGGATATAGGAGAATCTAAGAGGAAACAGACCAACTCAGTGAATATCTGAGAACTACTGTGTCTGGGACTGCTGCTGGAAGAAGGAAATTTACCCCTCCATTATCATGTCTGTGTTAACCCATTTAGTTTGTATTTTCCTTAGTGAGAGGCATAACACCATCTTTCCCACTTGGTAGCCTGGTACCACATCACAGAGCTACCAGCTTTAGGGGCTGGTTATGGCATCACCTGGCTTCATGGAGTATAGAGGACATGAAAGGTGTCTTGCACCTCCTTCTACAGAGAATGGAACTAAACCAGAGCACCAACTACTGCACTTTTAAGTCCATTCCTCTTTGCAAGATGATCCCACTTTCCAAGGGCTGCTTACTGTCAATGATAGAGTATGGTGGGAAGTCTCCATCCTGGGAAACATAGGACTTATTTGATGGCTGACCTGGGCACAGGACTTCCCAGTGGCTTTGCTGATGCTTCCTTAGACTGCTTGGCAGTCTAGCCTGCTCCCTTCTAGCCTTCTCTCCTTATCCCCTTCCCTGAGTCAGGCCCACATTGTGATCTGACTGCTAACCCAGGCTTCTCTAGATCCTTTCACACAAGCATTTCCTTCAAGAAAATCCCTGCAGTGTTTAACACTATCTTCACGTCTGCTTCTCAAGGACCATGACTGACACAGGAAGAATATCTGAATGGCATTTGGAGGAACAAAGTAGAAGAGGCAAGGATTGTCTCCTGGATATAAATTAGCACCCTGAAGAATTCTTGAGATTATCATAAGTATGGAGTCCAGGGAACACTATATAGAGGTTCAAGATGATAAATCATATCTGTGACTTTATCTTATATGCAGCACTTTAACATAAATAAATATCCATTATGCACATTTAGGCCAGAAGGGAAGCATCAAAGCAAAAGGCCATTCCCTATTCTCATAACTTAAGGAAAAGTGGGAGCAGATGATGTGTACCATGGGGCAGACCAATGTTGCCTTGGCCTTGATGACCTCCCAAATGAGCATTCAGAGTATCCCATTGTGACCCCCAAGAACTGCTGGGTTTCCATGTGTGAAGAGTTCAGGAGTTTCCTCCAGATCCTGTTGGCTTGACCCTATACCACCAAAAGCCTGATAATGATCTCTCGGTGTTGCTGCTTCCATCACCAGCCCTTGGGCCCTCCATATTCTGTCCGGCCTCACCAGGAATAGAATGAGACCACTCTTCTCAGGCAGATTTCTACCCAGTGCCAATCCACATATAATTGGTGGTAGAAATTTCAATCCTTCACGTGCCAGCCACTATGCAAAGCATTTTACATTTTGTTTATCTCATTCATTCAACACATTTATTGAGTACCTCCTATGTGTTATCACTCCCCAAAGAGAGAACAAGGCTAAAAAGTCCCAGCCTGCCTAAAACATACTTTCTAATGAGGGATAGAGACACAGTAAAAAAAAGAAAGCCAACAAAGACATATGTTTTATTATTATATTATTATATATATAATAGAGCCCAACATGGGGCTTGAACTCATGACCCTGAGATCAAGACCTGAGCTGAGATGGAGTCAGACACTTAACCAACTGAGCCATTCAGGAGCCCATCCAAGCCAATGTTGTTAACCATTACGCCTTGCCACCAAGGTGGATTCCACAATCTTCCTATTTATTATTCTAAAATCAGAGAGAAAGCCCAATCTTTACATTCTCACTGTTCTTGCTAACACCCTTTGTGACCTTTACAGTCTAAATGTTTAGGTGCTAAGGAGCCACCTAAGAGACTACAAAGCACTGGCCATGATTATTATGATCATCAATCATCATCGTTATCACCATAGCTTTTTTCTATCCCAAAATCCCAGTGGCTGGGGAAAGAGAGAGTAACACAGACCCCAAGAGCTTGCATTTCCTCCTAACAGTTAAGCAGTGTGGGCAGAAGTCCCTGCGGGGAGGTTCTAAAACCAGCCTTCGGCAGGAAAAACTGTGACTCACTAAACCCATAGATATTTATGTTGGTCTTGCTGCAAAGAACATCCTTCTGGGTAATAACTGAACCCCATAAATAGATTTTAAACTTCTATCCATTCTTCAAAAATAAACTGGTAGAACTGGTAGGACTTTTACAATATCATAGTGAGACACACCGTTAGCTCTATTAGTCATTTGATTTTTGCCTTCTTCCCGTTGCCTGCTTGGTTTGCATCCCCATCTAATCCAGAGGCCCTGTGATAATAAAGAACCAAGCTCATGTATCCATGGTTTCCCAAACCCTGAGTAATCAGGATCCTTATTCTGTTAGCAATAAACTTTGGAGGTTGTTTTTTCACTGTTTTTTTTTTTTTTTTTTTTTTTTTTTTTTTTTTTTTTGCATGAGCAGACACTGTTTCCCCAGCTTTATTTCTTGCATATGATCTAAATATGTTTCACTAAGCTTTGTAATAACAATATAGCTGTTTGCAGGGTGTTGTCTACAAGATAATGAGCAATTTTGCCTAACAGTCTTTTAAGAGCTGACATAACCCTGAGGGATCCTCTTGATTAACTAGTTTATATTGAATTCCACACAGCACCATTGTTAATAAAAGTATACTATGATTATTGTGACAGTCTGTAATTACTAGCTCAAAATGGTTTGGAAGTAGTATTTATATGTATTTTTCCACTCAACCAATGGGACATTTTTTTATATACAAGTGGAGATTCATATCTGCCAGACTTTATATACCTTGGAAGTTTCATTCTTTTCCCCAGTTCTCTTCTGCTGATAGTCAACTAAGTGATCAAGTGGAAAGCCTAAAAAATGTTAAGCATCATCACACACGAATGTCGGCAATTCATTTAATTCAAGAATGGAAAACTGTCCCTGAAGTCCCTGTTTCTTTGGAGCCAGATGAGCCTGGCAAGCCCGGAGAGAAATGTGAAGAAGTGGCAATATTTTTCCCTGCAAATACCTCTAGTCCTCCTGGTTTCACAAGAGTGGATTTTGATTAACCAAGTCTTCTTAGGTGTGCACTATGTGTTTGAAAAGGGCTTACAGGGTGGCCAGGCACTGATCAGAAATCCTCCTAGAGTCTAAAAGTTGGAAGGTATTTAGTAAGCAGGTAAAATGATGATCTGTCAGGCCAGATACAGTGTTTCCAGAATACATTTTTTTAGGGGCACCTGGGTGGGCTCAGTTGGTTAAGCGTCCAAATTCGGCTCAGGTCATGATCTTGCAGTTTGTGAGCTCAAGCCCAGCGTCGGGCTCTGTGCTGACAGCTCAGAGCCTGGAGCTTGCTTCTGGTTTTGTGTCTCCCTGTCTTTCTGCCGCTCCCCTGCTTGTGCTCTGTCTCTAAAAGAAATAAACATTTAAAAAAAAATTTTTAAAGAATATACTTTATTAAATTCTATTGCATTTTTCCTCATTTTTTGAAAAAAAAATAGATAAACTGGACATTCAGGAATTAACCTGTGGACCAGGGACAGAAGAAATCCACATAAAGCAATCAGGTAGATAAGACCTCAAGATCTTTTCCTCTTAGCAGTCTCCTGCTATTCTTCTTAGGCCAAATGGTGACATTTTGCATTTTCTCCTGACTCTAAGGTCTGGTGTTTCTGACCCTGTCTTAGAAATCTCTGCTCAGTCCATGACCTCAGAATTGTAATCTCTCATGGTTAGGAGGGAAAATGAAAGACACATGGCATCGTGTACCCACCAAGCACCCACTGCCCAATGTCGAGTCTGGAATGTGTCAGCATCTTGGTTGGCAACTCTCTGGGTGCTAAGTTGTCAATACCTTAAGTGACGTCCATGACTGTGGATGATGGTCTGGGTATGGTCTTAAAGTACAAAGTACAGTGGGATTTCAAGACAATACCGCTTGGTCTAGATCTACATCCCAGGAAAGGAGCAATCGTTTACTAAGTTTCAATGCTAACTGAGGATGGGA